ATATATATATATATATATGTATATATATGTATATGTATATATATACATACATATATATACATACATACATACATACATACATACATACATACATACACACACACATATATATATATACACACACACACACATATATATATAAATAATGATGTAACAAGGGAAGACGATTATGAAAAATTAAAATAAATTAATAGGTAGCCGAAACAAGGCCCAAACAAACCAAACAATAGAGCACAGACGGTAATTCAACACCAAGGACCCAAACAAAGCCCAAGAAAGCATACACTGCTTTGAACGGGTATAACTAGTTATTACAGGGTAAAAGAGTAGGATACAGAAAATGCATAGATGAACATATCTTGATAATGTGAGATAAACAACATCACAAGGTTACATTTGCTTGTTAAGATATGTGAACAAATTCTGCAATTTTGTCTTGGAATTCATAGATTATAGTCGTGAGGAGATGAGGGAAGAGATTACCATCTGTCGAGAGAAATCCCCAACCATTGTCACACAGAATCTCAACATTTTGGAGCTCTTATGCTCCCAATAAACATGCTCATGCCACTGCTTGCATACCTCGCAATTGTTCTTCATGTTGGCACCCTGCATAGAGAGAATGAAGAGAGGAGAAAAGAAAGAATTAGGAGCTAAAACTTACAAGATCTGGGTTTAGCTAGATCTTTAATTTGCAGAATGGATGAGGAACAGGAGTCCTTTAAAGCATTAGCTAATAATTTTCAGAGGAAGAAACTAAAGTCGCATTGATGCGAAACGAAACAGGGGGTCCATCGGAATCAGCGATTTAATTCGAATAATACAACGTTTTGCCAAAATTCATAATATTCGGTAGGAAATTAAATAAAAAAGTTAATACGATAGATGAGTTTTAACAAGATTTGCAACAATAGTCATAAACAGTTCCAATCTCAAATATTTTAATCGCAATATTAATTATCATTTCGCAAGTTCTATATTCAATATCAAAATTAAACAGTCACATGTTCAGTTCTCTCAACTCACAACATAAATTAAGCAGGAATATATGATAATAGTTTAGAGATTTAATACGCATGCAATTAACTGATAATTATGAGATTAACAAAAATTACTGAGTTGAGAGTTTACTATCCCAAAAGCTGAGAGAAATCCAAAAGCCCGTGCTATTCCTGTGAAGCCCATAGCCCATTTATCAACAAACCCATCGATATCGGTTCTGATTGATTGGTGTCTGATGGAATTTTACCACCTTCGATGGACAGAGAAAGTTAGGAAGGCAATCAAAGAGGTGGTCAGACTCCACTGGCTTGCTTCAAAAATCTGAGAAGAGGATGAGCGGTGCTTGAAAGGGGACGACGGGTGATGGTGGCCGACCCAAGCAGCGACGTGGCGACATCAAGAGAGAAGACAGAGGGGATCCTGTGGCCGTGGAGGAGTACTGGGCGGCTCGGCCGCTGTGGAGCTGTTTGAGGACGGAAAGGAAGCTAGGGTTTCAGGTGAGGGTTTCTCAGGTGAAGGGAGAAGCGAATGTCGGTTGTAGGAGATGGGGAAATTGGGGTTTTCAGCGGTGGGGGAGAGATGAAGTGAGGGGGGTGTTCGGCGGTCCTTGGAGGTGGGGATTTTGTCGGCTATTTGTGGGTTGTGTGGAGGAGGAGGAGGAGGAAGGAGTGGAGTTGGGTTCTGGGCGTCGTTGGACTGGGCGTCGGCTGTTTTGAGGGTGGGTTTCAGGCGCTTGGGCGGCGGCTGGAGGAGAGGGATCGGAGGTGGATGGAGGTGGGATTTGGGTTCGATGTTGACGGCGGTTGTGGAGGTGGTGGTGGTTGCTTGAGTCGAAGGAGGAGGGCGGAGGTCCGGTGGGCTTCGGGCGGCGAACTGGGAAGAGGGAGGTGGGGTTGGGTTCTGATTGTCTGAGGAAGAAGATGAACAGTAGCGATTTTCTTTTATTTTTTCTTTTTTTTTAGATGACTGCAGAGAAGAAAAAGGAAATTAATATTTTCAATTCTTGTTCTCATCACGCATACTAGCGCAAATAAACCCACCAGAAAACTCTTTTTCTCCCCTTCTCTGGTTGATCAAGAACTGGAAATAAGAAAGAGCCTTTAACATAGTCTCTTTCACTTTCCATTTCATGCAAAGCGCACTTAGTGAATCTGATGTTGAAGGGATAAAGAAAAGGAAAACACATTATGACCGTCTCTTTCACTTAGTATACCAATTTGAGCTCATTCTATGTTTGAGTACGTTGCAATTGGGAAACTGATGCAATAAAAGAGCTGAAATGGTAAAAGAAATGAAGAGGTCTAGCTACTTTTTTCTATACCTGTATACTTACTATTTCTAGCAATCTGGAGTTCTTACAAACCTGATCTTCACATCCCTTTCATGTTTCTCTAATGATAGCTGGCACCAAAAGAATAAGATGAGAATTGACGAAACCTCCTTAATACTGAGCCATTTAATCTATGTTTTGCCATAGTTAATAAAAGTGTAGCTTTGCTCAAAATTTTAATAGAAAATTTTGTAAATTTGTATTTAATTGAGCACAAGTCTTCAGGAGCCACTGAAAGCCTCCGCCTTTTTGAACTGATGATAATTGCACAGGCAATATATATATATATATATATATATATATACATGTATTACAAATGAACACATCTGGACATAAACTGAGATCAAAATCTATCATAATCCACAAATAAGTTTAATAATTTTAACCTATCATGTCTAGAATGTTAGGCAATAAAATACATGGGATTTGGTAACTTAAATGAGTCATTGCACATAGAAACAAGTCACTCCATTGGTCTCAAGAGTTCCCACGAGTTCTGCATCCATCTGCAACTATTTCAGACCTTTTCTCTAACTTGTATGTTATTCCTGTCTTTTCATGATCATCCAATTCCCTGTGGAAGATAAATATCAGATGTGATTAGCCCATGATTAGAACCGTCAGCAAAATTTTGGGTGTTAATTATGCATGAACACTTTTAAACGCAACTCACTTCTAGAAGAGGGATAGTTAAGGAAGCATCATGCTTTAGACCTTAAGATATAATTACATTCAACAAAACAGATTGAAGGCATGAAGTCAATAGAAATAATCATGGTTAGATAATGAACTAAAATTCCCACAGGGCTGAGGATCATTTAATTCTCGAATAAATTTTTAACTAAAGAGTATTTGGTGTTCATCCGGCATTGTCCTCAACTACTGTGAGTTCAAGTAAATAGGAATGGATGAGTCTCACTTTTCCATTGGATACCAAGGCCTTGGCACAGCAGTTAAGGGGAGATTGAAAGAGAATCAATAGGTCCAGGATTCAAATCCGATGTGTAGTACCAAAAAACACTGATGGTGATGGAATATGCTATAATTAATCGAAACAGAACCTTATAAGAGAAGAATTATGTTTTTATTTTTGTTTCAAAATATCATCAGTTACTGCTTGTTTACTTATGCAGCCATCATAATCATGTTGAGCCACTTCTTAATGACTTATGGTGGAGCCCTCCTACTCCCTCCCCTAACTACGAACTGCGGATTCAGTCATCACATGAAAGCTTCTCTGTAACACTCCAAATCCCTATCATTCGCCAGGGTAAATATCAGATGTCGACAATTCTAGATATAAAAAAAAAAAAACCTAAGCTCCTAAAGATATCGTGTTTTTTTTTCTTATGAATGAAAACTCAAAATAATTATATGGGAATGGTAAGTTTACTTATATTCTAGTGTAATAGTGCATCCTGTTGTCTCAAAAAAGTAAAACATGCTGCTTCAAAAATTAAATCCAAATTTTATATAGCATGTAAAAGTTTCTTTTTTTTAATATAGATTAGCAGGTCAACAATAAAAGGAGCAACATTATTTACAGGTAATCAATCATTGAAAGGAGAAAATTAAGACATGTTCTATTCTTCTAGTGTAACTGGAACATCAGGTGGAGGGAGTATCCATAGCGCTTATGTTGCATGGGTGTGGGTACGGGTATGGGCACGGGACACGGAAAATTTGTAAAAGGTAGGGTACAGGGACACAACTATATAAACATTTATATACACATATATTATATAATTGAGTTAATATTTATATGAGAACAAGGATTTAAGTTAAAATTTCTATATCATTTTTATGCTTCTTTTATTATGTGGATTATAAATTGGAAAAATCACTAGTTTTTAAACTAGACATCCAACTGACCCTTCAAAATCATAATTCAAAACCTGACCTACATCCCACAAGTTTCAAGAAGTGGATGTGAAGTGTAGCATATATGTCCAAATGTATGACACACTAGTAGAAAAACGACCAACCTAGACGGAAATTTCCGTCTAGGTTGGTCTACAATCCGTCTAGGTTGGTTCATCTAGACGGAAATCCGTCTAGGTAGATTGGTTTATTCTGTTACCGTCTAGTTTGGATCAAACTAGACGGATTTCCGTCTAAATTGATCAATCTAGACGGAAACCAACCTAGACGGAATCGACATTTCCGTCTAGGTTGGTATCCTAGACGGATTTCCGTCTAGGATGCCAACCTAGACGGAAAACCGTCTAGGTTGACAACCTAGACGGTTTTCCGTCTAGGTTGATTATTGCAACCTAGACGGAATTTCCGTCTAGGTTGGTACAGTCTAGACGGAATTCCGTCTAGGTTGCTATTTTTCCAGCAAAAAAAATATATTACAATTTGTATTTCCCTGTACAATTACACCAATACATGAATACATACAATAAATACTGTATATATGAATACATCCAACCATCCAAATATAATCAAGATTTTAGACAATTCCATTCAAACCCAAAAATATTCAAATCCAACATAATGCACAGACCCAGCCATAATATAATCAATTCCAGCATAATAAACAAATCCAACTATCTACTTCAAAATATGCATCAACCAAGACCGTCTAATATATACATCCAACAAGCATATAAGTATTGTTATAACAGATAAAGCTGTTCATTGCATTAAAAATGTACAAAAAACCTCATAAACCTCATCAGTCGTCGTCGTCGGCAGTATCTCTATCCCGGTTACGAGAACGTGTGCTGCTCCCTCCAATATCTCCACTCTGAATGGTCAATTGAATAATCATTAAGGAGTGTTTAATACATATTAAATATAAATGAATTTATTATTTTAAGGAAAAAAAAGGTACCTGAGTGTTGCTCTGACCAGCACCGGAATTATCGCCAAGCGAGCTTATAATCCGTATAACACCACCATACGCGCTATGAGGAATCGCACCGCTTAAATATTGCATGACATACCCCAGGAGATCATCCATCGAGTTCGCCGTCAGCGCAACTTTTGTCATCTCATTAGTCACCTGGATATGTAGCTCCGAGTCAATCTTGTCAAGCAAATATGCAGAGATACGTGCGACAAATGGCATAGCCTGGAACCGAGGCGGGGCTGCTCTCATGGATGTAAATGGTGTGGAGGATGCTGTGGATGACCTCATGCTTACGCCGGGTGAAGCTCCAACACCATGCAGAGGATATCTCCCTCTCCTATGTTTAGGGAGAAATAAATATTAAATTTACCTCTCGAATTCAATAATGATAAAAAAATATAAATAGGAATGTAGTATTCAAATTGATTCAAATTTTCTACATCCATACCTATTATGACCCATCAAATGCTGTGTGAGAGTAATGTTGTCCTCTGCAGAAAGCATGTGAGGGTCCGGCTCAGATTGTTCCTCCTGCTGCGACATATACACAGTTGCAGCCTCCTTTGATGCAGCCTCAAATCCCTCCTAAAGCACAAATATATAATTATTTCATGGTAAAGACAATGTTATTTGTGTTCTCATTTCCTCATAATATTAACAACAAAATAGAATTAATAATACTACACAAGATATGTATAACTCTCACCACCAACTCGAGATTTGCCTTGATCTTATCTCGATTCTTCTCATCACCCCTATATCTATCACGGAAAATGCCATACGCCGCTTTCGCCCTCAAGTGTATTGGCATTAATGATTTTCCCTGTCATATTATATATTATCACACTCATAATCATACTAATCATTAAATTCATCAAAACTTTAGACGGAAATCTACCGTATCCTGACAATAAACATCCTCCAGATTGGCATAGGAGTGTGAGCCCAAGTGGTGGTCATGCAGCTTCTTTCTTCTATTTTCTGACCCCTTCGTGGATTTATTCTTTTTTAAAAGAAAAAAATTAGCAAATATGCAATAAATTAATATCTTAAAAGTATAAAGTAATTTTCATGAAACTAACCTTGGAGGCATCGCTGTCCCAATACATGAGGAGAGCTGTGAAATGAACCTCGTCAACTCGGGCGTCGAGGTTTAAAAAC